ACGATGTTGAGGAGGGAGAAGGCGCTCCTGACGGGATAGTGGGCGTCGGTGAAGGCGATGGCGCAGAGGCCATTCTGGTTGTAGCAATGCACCATGTACTCTGCAGGGGATCAGCAATCGAGGTCGGATCAGCGCAGTAGAGGAGGCGGGGAAGAAGGAAGAAAACGAGGGGGAGGCAGGCGTGAGGCGTGACGTGCCTTCGTGCTGGACGTTCTGCCGGCTGCCGGCGGGGGTGCGGAGGGCGACGGTGCGGGCGACGAAGAGGATGAACTCGCGGGCAGCGGCGCGCTGGAAGTAGCCGAAGTGGCTGACGTCCGACGCGTTGGCCAGCACCACGGCCTGCTGCTGCTCGCCGCCGGAGGCGGAGGAATCGCCAGGGGATTTGAGCACCAGGAGCGCCGTGATCTTCATCGCGGGTTCCGGACTTCCGGCCGCGGGGGTTGGGTTGGGTCGGGGCGGCGGAGGAAGAGGAAGGGAGGCGAATTGGGTGCCGGCTGCGGGGGAGCAGCGAATTCTGAAGGGAACACGGTGCGGTGCGAACACAACAGCGATGCGTTTTGACGTGGCTTTCTTTGTGGGGAAGGAAGGAAGGAAGAAGCGGCAGTGGACTCCAGGAGGTTGCCGACGTGTAGTAGTAAACAAGATTTGATCATTTGGAAATTTTTCTACAATCGCTTAATTATTTATTTTTTGGTTAATTGTCATTAAAGAAACGCCACTATAAATTCATATATTCTTTTTTTTATACGATAGTTCTATGGTCTGTGGTGATCTAGTGACCCCTTTGACAACTACTTCTGCACCTGGCATGTTCTACATTTTCTCATGTTTCTGCAATCAACACAGCAAGCTGACAACCACCAAGGAAAAAGGGCAATGATTTTTATAAGAGAAAATCAGCTATCAGCCTGTTCGGCAGCCCGTATCTAGCTTATAAGCCTTGGCTTATCAGCCAACGAACAATATTTTTCTCTCACACCAAACCAGCCAGCAGTACTTTCAGTCATGACTTATAAGCCAATCCAGCCGAAACGAACAGCCTGTATAACGGTTTACTAATGAGATCGAGCCAAGCATATAAGTTCAACTAGAGTAATATAACAATATAGTAGGGCAATAATAACTAGAGCATGAAAGGGGACTCCCTCGCCGCCACTAGGGCAATGCCACTCCGCCCCCACCTAAGCAGTGATCACAAGGTTAACATCTTGTTATCTAATTAACACATATTGTTTGGTAAATAATCATCTTAGTTCTCGGTAGTGAGAGTCTGTAGTGTCCAGAAACGCCACCAATCCACTTGTCTCTATATATATGACATAAACCTCGGCCTTGTTTGGCTGCACTTCAGTCCACCACAATACATGTGGATTGGAGTGGTTGGAGTGCAACCAAACAAGACGCGTGCAAAAGATCAATTTAATTGTGTGCTTGAGATTTACATGTTGTCTTTTGAATATGAGGCAGAAAGAGCATCTCCAAGAGATTCTTTATATTGTTCCTAGTTTACATAAATAGAGGTTTTGGTGAAAAAAATACCCTCCAATAGCCTCTTCAGTTGGATATCTAAATATAGATATCATCTATTCCGGATTTCTTATTAGCCAAAGAATGACCCTCTAGACTACGCAAAGCTGTTGGAGAGTACAATGATATAGAAAGCGATTTTCACTCAAATGACTCTCTAAATGATGATTTGGAGAGTAAATTTTAGAAAGGCTCTTGGAGATGCTCTAAACCACCAACGCCATACATAGTCTATGCTAAAAAAGGAACCCCAAGTTTTTCGTTGAGTTGTTAGTTAAAACGTTTGAGTGGAAAACAGAAGTATAAACATGAGATTCTCTAATAAAATGTCAATTATTATGGTTTGTTGAGGTTGATGTAAAACCAATATATAGTAATAAATATCACATCTAAAAGAAATTTTAGTGATAAATATCATATTCATCTGATTTGATATGATGTATAATATTATTATGGGTAAAACTAAATCAGATTTGTCCCCCTGAACTTGTCGATAATAAATTTAGAACAAAAACCCTCATCGAATTGAAATACCATAATTTATTGATTGGTTGAGCTTGTCGTTATATAATATTCAGATATCTATTGTATAGTATTAGCGATAGAAGATATATCATTCTTAATTATCAAAACATTTAGGATAGATACACTCAATCAAAGATCTAAGCACGAACCGGAGAATTTACGCTTATACTACATGTCTTTCTCTCTATATAAGCATAGAAGAGAAAGGAAGAACAACGGACGATATTGTTCCGTTAGTGTTGTTCTTCTCCTAATAGAATATAATGGCACTCGTCAAGACCAGCACAACAAGGGCGGCTGTGTGTGCTGCCTTTGTTTGCATTATTATTGTTGTTCTTGTGCCCATGCTGCCATGTTCCCTCTCCAACCAACCTCCAAGAAAGTTCGCATCCAATACTTGTGTACTCCCTCCATCTCAAATTATAAATCAATCAAACTTTTTTAGAGAGTCCAAACATCTCAGGTAGTTTGACCAAATTTATATGATAAAAAATAGCATTTATGGTATTAAATAAATATCATTAGATTCTTCATTAATTATTATCTTTATAGTATATCTATTTGATACCATAAATTTTTATAATTCTCTTAAAAAAAAATTAGAATGTCGCCCCTGTCCATCCCGGGGAACGGGAAATCGCTGGTCGTTGCGGACCGCGTGTCGGCTCGCACTCGGAAGAGAGCCGGGCCGGGAGACCCGGGGCTCGTCGATCGGGCGGGCGGGTGGTGCGCGTTTGTTCGTCACCGACTGGGCCAGGAGCCCGGGATCGGGGAATCCACCGACCGGTCTCCCCCGGTACAACCCATTGTGGACCCAAGATGCGCACGTTGCTGACCTGGGCCGGCGAGTCCCCGGCCCGCTCGTGCAGGTGCGGTAGCAGTGGATGGATTGGAGCCGTTGGGGCAGGCGACGTGGCACGGGCCCAATCCTATACCACAGCTTCAGCCTTCATCTACAAGGAGGCTACAGCGACCGATACGCATAGGCCACGTGGCCAAGTGATGAGCACAGACCGTTCAAAAAAACAAAAAAAAAAGGTGATTAGCACAGATATACCACTTGCTCACCACTTTCTTGTCGTCCTCGGTCCAACTGCAGTTCAGGGTCCTATGTACATACAAGGATAGTGCTATGATACTTCCTTTATCTACTACTCCGTAGGAGATAATACTTCAAACAAATCTGGATCATTAATTTTTAAAATTGTAAATTAATTAATTAATTAGCCTAGGAAAAGAAAAAAAAACATTCTCAAATCCAGTCATTATGTTTGTTGCTGCCGCACTGCCGCATCCTTCTTTTTGCTATATTTTACCATATATTTATGTACAGTTTTATCTATTCACAGGATAATTACTTTATATATAATACACAACATTTATGTTGTATCTAACTTTTATGCCTTGGTGTCAATTCAAAGCTAGTTTTATTCTTCTCCCAACTCTATGAACGATATGTTACATATATAATACAACTACTATCACTCCGATGTTACGATGAACCTGTTACAAGTATACCAGTCATGATATAGGGTACCATAAAAACTTTTTAGCGAGATCATCATGTATAAAGTGTGACGCTAATGTACATATTTTTATCTTGAAAGTTGTCAAAAAGTTTTTATGATATCCAGTCACGTCAAAGTTGTGCACCGATCACGCTCCATACTCTGTTAATTAAAAAAAAAACATGTTATATCCATGAAAAAGATCAACAGCTGACAATAGCTAACACACCAATTGAGTTGTAAACTTTGACGATCTAAAATGTGCTAATCAAATCATAGCCTTTCTCATGCATAAAAAATCAACTGTTTAATTTTTGCTAATCAAATCATGTCATGTCTAAAGTTGTACATAAAAAGATCTATGACATCCAATAGATCACGGATGTATCAATTAGATCTGGTAGGAAAAAGATTTTTATACCTAAAACTTTCCTTATTTATCATATTTTACAAAATAAAAGATTAGGCATTTTTCCTACTCTCCGATAGCCACGTTGTATATGTGTGCATACTTATTTATCAGTTTGAGTATGCTTTTCTACTCATTTTAATATGCTCCAAATATTACTATGTGATTTTTTTTTTCAAAAGAACCTATATTTTTAATATATTATTATAATACCATTATAGTAGTATATAAAATAAGTATAACCATATACTCTAAGGTCGTTGAGGAGATGCACGCCTGAGGTTGTTATTAGGTCGGCAAGGCCACCTAGAACACCGATGAATCTCATGGAGAGATGCAACGAATAGCAGGAGGTTGAGAAAAGGGCAAAACTTAGGTAATAGATGTAAAAAAGGCGATTGATTGTTGGATCCTTCAATCAGCCATGATCCTCTGATATATATAGAGGGGGCCGGTCTTATCCCAGTAGGAAACAAGTCCAGATCTTGATCTCCATGTTTCCTACGCCAAAACAATCGAGTCCAAAAACCGATTTGGTAAGTAACGGACTCGAATAGGGGAAATCGCCCTGGCGGGGTCCCAAACTGGCCAAGCCGGTTTTGTCTAGCTCGGGGAGGCCAACTACAACAAAGCGAGCAGAGAACCGGCCTGGCCGGGTCCGGTTTGGCAGAGGGTGTCGCAGGGAGGGAGGCCTGGCTAGAGAAACCTAGCAGGGCGCGCGCGGCAGGCCGGTCTGGCCGGCTATGAGGACCGGCTAGGCCCCCTTTGGCAGAACCGAGCGCCATCTTCTCTTCCTTTTGCTTCTGGACTTCTAAGCAATGCTCCAAATATATTTTTAGGACTATTTTGTCACTAGAAACATCGTCTAAAACTCCTCTTCACGTTCTCGGCCATATTTGGTCGTCAACAATATCCATGGAATCAGCCATATATATGATGGGCGTCCGTCATATTTTAGACACACTGACACACGTCTACTTTGCTCTTGGCTTGTTGTACGTCATGGAGACCACAGAGACAATTCTCCTGCCCTATATCTTTCGCCACGCACAGACCAACAAGCCCTTCACCGTGCTGATACCAGATCCTCCTCTTAGCAGCAAGGTCTTCAACAAAGCTGGCGATCTTGTCGACCGACGCCAACATTCGGCATCACCACCACATGCGCTACGTCGCCCTGGCACGCGAGCTGCCACTTGCGCACGAACGCCTCGTCGCGCGGCCGCTCGAGCGCCACCGTGATGCTTTAGCGGGTTCAGGCGCGCCGCGCTGACGCCGGCGTCCCTGAGGCAGCGCGCGAGGAATCGCGCGTTCCGCAGGCACCTGTGGACGTCGTCGCGGATGCCCCTGCGGCCCTTGGCGTTGAGCGCGCACCACAGGAACAGCAGCGCGTGGTCGTTGCGGCTGCCGGTGATGGTGGCGTCCCTCGACGAGAGGTACTCGACGTCGGTGGACAGCACGACGGCGTGCTCTCGCCTCGTGATCACCACGCCGCAGGGGACCGGGCACCCCAGGAACTTGTGGCCCGAGACGCTCACGCTTCCGATGCCAGGCTTTCTGAACGTCACCCTTGGTGCCTGTGGAAGGAATGAAAAGCCAAAAGAAAAAAAAAATGCATGGCTTCAGTTGGTTGGTTCGTTAGTGAGTTGTTCCCTCATGTAAAAAACTGGTATATATTCGGACAAAGAAGAAGAAAAAGAGAGTGTATATACTTGTTTGAGAAACGGTATGATGAGGCCAGCCAGAGCACCATCACAGTGGATGTAGAATCGGTCATGAAACCCACCCTGGTTTCTTGTCAAGATCATCAATTGCTCCCTTCACAGTTGTTCCTGCATCAATTCAAGGAGAGCAACAGCAGTGCTGTCACAGCTCTGCACGACGCATGAGATCGGCATCAGACATACAGTGCACACAGGACTAACCAGTGTTGACGTTGACAATGGCAGGGCTGTGTGTGTTGTGCATCAGCTTGGCCTCAAACAGTCTGTTCGTTTTGGCTGAAACGATCGTGGATTATTACTACTGGTTGGTTTGGTATGAAAGAAAAATACTATTCTGACTTATAATCCACTATCGTTTACGACCAAACGAACAGACAGAAAATCATCACAGTCCATCTCTCCAGAAACCAGGGTGCCGACCTTGACGCACCTGACCCTGTACATCCTGGCCGCCCTCCCTGAAGACGGAGTAGTGCGAGACCGCGGCCCGTCGGGGAACACCTCCCGGCCGACGAGCAGGCCGTGCAGGTTGCCCTCGGTGCCGCAGCTGGTGACGTAGCCCCAGTAGTCGCCGGGGCCGAGGTCCCAGATGCGGGTGAACCAGTCCAGCACCGCCACCTCCAGCGGCCGCGAGTGCACGCCGTAGTTGCTCTCCACGAAGGGGTCGCCCAGGTTGTTGATGCACAGGCCCTCCAGGAACGGCGCCAGCGGGGCGAAGTCGAAGTCCAGGTTGTACGGGTACCCCAGGTGGTGCGCCGACCGGTCCTCGAGGTGCCGCCGGAACCCGGCCAGGAGCCGGGCCACCTCCGCCTGCCGCTCCGCCAAGGCATCCTCGTCCGCCGGTGGCTCCTCCACCGTGCCGCGAACGCCTCGGCCGCTGGCGGCGCCGTCACGGCCCCACCGTCCCGCTCGTCGTCGTCTCCCGCCTGCGGCACGCGTCAATGGTGAGCAGCGGCAGCCGTGTCATCAGCGAGCTGCAGGTCCCTGGCCGTCGTCGTCGTCAGCTCTGCTACCACCGGCGCCATTATTGCTCCTCCGATCCTGCAGAGACGCAATAGCTGGCAGTACTGTCACTCCAATCCCTCTACCGGACGTCGTCTTCTCCAACTGCGGCGTACGTACGTGCTACCTCTAGCTAGTATGTCTGAAATGAGCTATGTATGGGCATCGTCATTGTGTATTTATAGACGACACTGTTTTATATGCGTCACCAACAGACTTCAGTGGACATTATTAATTGGCAATGTCGTGGCATCATGCATACTCTAATACTTTTTTTCCCGAACGTGCCACATGTACAGATTTCATTAAACAGAAGCAGAGTTTTTTTTTTACAAAAAAGACTGACCGGTAATCCTAGAATTACCAGCGCAATCCCACAAGCACAAACGATACAGCAAGAAAGCACTGGGGTGGGCCTCCACCACCAAACCCTTACAGACCGAGCCTATTACAGGAAGACAAACACATTGGTAGCCTAAGTTGTAGTGTAGCTGCGATAGCCAGCATCCACCAAGGAAGCCAAAGGAGCCGGCACGACAACAGCGGCAAAGCATCCGTACGAGAAACGACCACGGCGGCCAAGCATCCGCCAAAAAAGGACCATTACGGCAAAGCATTCGTAATGAGGGCCATCACACGCTCTGCAGCTGACTGAGCGTGGAGACCAAAGCGACGAGGTGGCCAAACATCCACCCAAGCAGCAAAAGCGGCAAAGCATCCGCCAACGAACCGAACGACAGCGGCAACAACAAACACCGAAGGACAAACCAATGTGAAGATAGAGTTGAAGCACAGATAGGCACAGCAGAGCCACACACCTAGCACCTAATTGACTATACCTGCAAGGTAAAAATACATCAACACAAGGGTGCCAGCACGAGAGATGAAGCCGCGGTGGCAAAGCATCCACCAAGAAGCGACAAGGCTTCGACGGCAAGTCCGCCCGAGCAGCACGGCGGCAAAGCATCTGCCGGATAGAACGCGACAAAGTATCCGTAAAAGGGGAGCCATCACACCCTCAGCCATGACGGCAAAGCATCCCCATGACGGCAAAGCATCCCCCAAGGGGGGCGCCCGAAGCGAAAGGCGGCAAAGCATCCCCAAACAGCAACGACGGCAAAGCATCCGTCAAAGAACAATCGACGGCAGCAACATAAAGCATACTCTAATACTGATCTATCGTCGGTGAGGAGTACTAGCATATCCTGAAATTTAGCAAAATAATTCCAGAGAACATGCTCCACGGCAGAACGGAGATCCGATCCGATTGAGGTAGAAGCGTATGATATCTCCAGCCAATCTTCAGAAGACCGAGATCATGATCCGGTTGTTTATATCACAGTTCGTACAAGCTAGCTGGAGCCTGCTATAATCATCACACAGTTCGTACATATACCGATATTTTGAATTGGTATGGTATAGAATAGAGACCAGCGACTTGATTTATCTTTTTCTTGCATTGCATTATCTTTTAAGCTAAGTGACTTCCATTAGCACGACCAAGATAATAAACAATTGATTGTATTTGTATGCAGAAATAAAACTGCACCGGGTGAACCCCCTCAGGTTGTGCAGCTGTTCCATAAAGAAACTTTAGAAGGGCATAAAAAAACTTAAAAATTTTATATGTCATATGTGTTTAAGTGAAAAGAAGCTAGCATGACATTTATATTTATAAGTACTTAGTAACAAAGATTTTCTTACATGCCAACCACCAAGAAATTAGGCATTTTCCTTTGCGGCATAGAAAAACTGTCAAGAAAATTGCATCTTTGGGCAGCTTAGAGAACTTTTTAGTTGCACCTCCGAGGAAACAATATACTCCTAACTCCTTGGTGGTTTCATTTATTCACACCTCACGCTCAATAAATTCTGGACGCTCAGAATATCTCATTTTTTAGTAGTGATTAGGAATCATCCGTTTAGAAAAATCGCTCGATAAATTCCCCAAAATAGGTGCATGTTTTCATAATATGCAATACATGAAATTTGTCATATATTATGGAAGCATTTTTTTTCATAATAAACCAATTTTACATTGTGAATTTATATAAAAGTTTAGATGATGTTGATACAATTTTGTATAACTCTGGGTAGGCTTTACAAAATTTTTTGACTAGGCGGATGAAGCTAGAATCGTATTCTTTTGCCGACAGAGATATACTAGTATATAGTGGGATGAAGTAGCTGGTGAGATGCTGACATTAACACAGAATACATAGCTTAATGCATGCATCAATACATTTAATAGTGATCGTTACACGCTGCAGAAGCATGCGCTTACTTATTTGCAAATAAGTAGAGTACGTACGTAGTGAGCAACACACGTGACACGTCTGCTCTTATTTATGTAGTACGTACGGCAGTCCATAGGGTAGCAGGACGCTACAGGCTACACGCTGATCGATCGAGTTCATGCATTCGCTCGTCCATCCGCAACCGCAACTGCATCGGATCGGATCAGTTTCAGTTGCTGTAGTAGCCGTGCGGCACCCTGTGCTCCTGCTGCTTGGTCTCGTAGTGGGCCTCCTTCTGCTCGCGGTGCTCGTGGTACGCGTAGCCGCCGCCGCCCAGCGCCGCCGCCGCCGCCACGCCGGCCTCGATCTTGTGCCTCTGCGCGTTCGCCGGGTCCTTCTTCGCACGGTGCCCCTCGTACTGCAATATATTCATGCATGCATGCGTTCCATCAGCTAGAATTCCAGCTATAGTACACTTGTACGAAATGCATGGTCACCTTTATGCTACGTTACCAGGGCAAAGGCGCCGCCGGCGAGGGCGCCCACCTCGCGCCGAGGCGCTCCTTGTGCTTGTGCTCCTTCTCCTCCCTCTTGAAGTGCTCCTGCTCGCCGCCGTAGCCGCCATAGCCGCCGCGGGAGTACTCGTCGTTGTACACGGCGGTCTGCCTGCCGCCGTAGCCGCAGTCGTCGTTGGCGTACGCGGCGGGCCTCCTGATGCGGTCGTCCTGCACGTTGTCGTAGTACTCGTCGGTGCGCGAGTAGGCCCTCATGCTGCCGCCGTGCCTGCCGGCGTCGTAGCACTCGTCGTCGGTGTTGGAGTACATGACCCTGCCGCCGTGGTAGTAGTCGGCCATCGTCTCGGGTAGGCTAGTGTCGGATTTAATTTGCTGGCTGTAAGTGTGTTTGGTGCAGGTGTTTGCCTTGCTCGTTGGTTGCAGAAAATGCGTGTAGGAGCGCACCTATTTATAGAGCGATGATGAGGGACGCGCTGGCTGGTGATGGACGGTCAGGATCAGGATTGGTGGACAAGAAGAACTATTTCATGACAGATGCAGGCTAGCTTATCCCATTCCACCGAGCCTTTTTAATATATATATGATGATGATAATGAATTATTGCTTTTACTGTTGTTGGAAAAGAAAGAAAGAAAGAAAGCCTTAATAAGCGGTTTGGGTATATATTTGGGCAAGATTGTGACAATTAATAATGCATGCCAGAACCTGATGCTTTCAGCAAACTCCTCTTATTTTCCTTATATACGACAGCGAGTTCATCGATCAGCAGGATTTACAAAACGTACGTAAATGTAAATCCTGCACTAATGATATTGTGAAATTCAGCTTAGTTTGGTATATAAAAAAAAACCCATAAAACGTTACATAAGATATATTATCCAGATGAGATGACATAAGATTTCCATGTTCACACAGTGTTTTCAAAGAAAAAAAATGTTCACACAGTGTTTTCAAGAGAAAAAAAATGTATGTCACTAAACAATTTTGGTGTAGCTAAATTTATCACCGAGATACTAGATGGCATGCAAAGGCGTCGAGATTCCAATGCGCGTTGTTTTCTCTCTTTCTGAAAAGGGAATGCGATGATAATTTGCCAACTGGGAGCATTTTATTTCTCCAGCATTCATGTAAAGTTATTCTTCTTTCAGGGAATAGTCTTGCTGTCAACAAATGACGACATCATCAATTCCATTTCTACTTATTTCAGTGTCAGAGAATATGTACATCCCCTTTGCTTCTTTAAACAAAGAAAAAGAAAAAGAAAAAGATCGAACCTAAAACCTCTCCGGCCGTGTGTGAAAATTGAAACGAAATGTGCACGTAACCCTTATCGTTATTATTGCAAATTCTCCATGATCGGGATGATAACCTCTCCAATCAGTCCACGGTACCTAGCCACTGAAAATCTACATATTTTTAAGGACAGTTGGCATAAAAGGTAGATTTTTCTAGGGTGGTTCCTAAGCTAATCCTCTAAAAACAGGTAGATTTTCAATGACGGCTTTTATTAAGCTACTACACAACTTAGATCCCTAACAAACATATTGCATATGGGCAATCTAAGCATGTCAGATGTCACACATTCAGTGTTGATAAGGATTCAGATCAGCTAGTAAAGTAAGTGCAAACTGCAAATTAGAATTAACGGTAATTCTGGGTGTAGGCGTCCAGCGGACGAACGCTCCCGATGGTGGGTTGCCTGCGCTAGCCCAAAGACCGCCCCAGATGGCAATTCTTATCTGCTTATTCACTCGCACTCACCCCCAACCGATAAAAAAAAACTCGTCTCACGAAGCGCCGCCGCGCACCCGTGCCGCCTCGCTGACCACGCTCCGCCGCGCCGCCTCAGTGACCACACTCTCCACCTCGCCTCCCTCTCCACCACCCCTCTGCTCCGCCAGCCGGCATCTCCACCACGCCAGAGCACAGCAGCCGGTCTTCCTCCCTCTCTACCCGCCTCTCGCACGCCACAGACTTCTAGAGCGCACGGACCCGCCGCGGCCTTCTCCACTGGACTTGTCGCGTCCTTCTCCACCGGGGCGACGAGCTCCACGCCACCGGCAAGCTCTACACCGGTGAACTCCACGTGCCAACGAGCCCTCATTCCCAAACAACAAGGAGATATTACGCTGAAAGCTCGTGTTGCAAACGTATATTTCAAGTGTTTCAGATGTTTCAGAGGTATGTTGCAAGTGTTTTATATTGGTGTTGCAAAAATAGAGAGATGTTGCACATGTTGCAATGGCTATACACATATGTTTCAAGTGTATGTCCCGACTATTTCATCTGTTTTAGACATATGTTGTAAGTGTTTCATCTGAATGTTGCTAAAGTATAGATCTGGATGTTGCATATATATACATGGTTGCAAGCATATGTTTTTAAGTGTTTTCAGTTGCTTCAAACATATGTTTCAAGTATTTCATCATTTGGATGTTGCATATATTTTGCAATGGCTACACACGTGTTTTTTTAGTGTTTCAGACGTATGTTGCCAGTGTTTCAGTTGTTTCGGACGTATATTGCATGTGTTTCATCTGAATGTTGTAAAAATAGATCTGGTGTTGCACATGTTGCAATAGGACCCACCTGCTGTCGTGCATCGTGTGGGAAGCGGAGGGGGATGGCGGGCGCGAGCTGTTCCTTCTGTTACGGGTGGAACCAGATAATTTTACAGTCTGGGTGGGAGCTGCGTCCGGACGCCTCTTGGGGCCGGACATCTGGGCGCTAGCGTCTCCCTAGAATTAATACTTAGCAAAGTTCAAAGAAGCAATTTCAATACATTTTTTTCAACAGTTTCTTTTCTCACTAGTCCTCTCATCAAGTATTTACATAGTCTAGTGATTTGAAATGGGGTATGCTCAAGGACGTATATGTGGGGGGATCGGAGTCCAGACAAGTAGAGAGTACTCTCGATCTTTCATCCACAAATTCCTGGTCATAGCACGAAAGTACTGAACACAAAAAATTCCGATTACCAAATACAAAAGTTCTCGATCACAGAATACTTAATCGCTAAAAATCTTACCGTAGAAACTCCCAATTACCAAATGATTATGAGACATCCTGATCAGTCTAGCTCTGACCACAAAAACTCCCAAGGACAAAACTCCTGGTGACAAAACTTCTGAGGACCAAAGAACCTGAGGAGAAGGGAACCCCATTGGCTAAAAGAAAAGGTGATGAGACACTGATATTGCATATCCTTGTTGGAGCAAATTATTTCTTTGTATATATAATCCTACCCCTGCGCAACCCACAACCAAAACTATATAAAGAGGGGCAGATATGGTAGACATAGGAGATGGATCTAGTTATATAGCCAAGACAACTCGATGCAAGAAGTCATACCATCTACTTTTTTTTCCCGTACCTCCATATATATATATATATATATATATATATATATATATATATATATATATATATATATATATATATATACAGACTAGCTAGACCTTTTCATTGTAGTCCAAAGCCATATATACAAGATCCAAATAGGACTTAGGGTATTAGTGTATTACTCCACATAGAGGGCCTGGACATGTATTAATGGTGTGTTCGTTCAATCCATATTCAGATCAGCTGCATGGTGTTCTGGGACATAGGGTATGTTAAACTCTTATAAAGTAAAACCCCACTAGCCTATTTTTCTCATTCCACAGTCCTCCACGTCATCGTTCCCACCTGGCCCACGTATCTACCTCCACCTAGGATCATTTCCCATTCCACTTCTGAATGCACGACTACCTTGGTTAAATAATTTTCATTCTAATCACCTTCATAAATAGCCTCTCCATTTCTCCATCCACTCACACGCATGGCCATCATACGTTTTAGTGTTTTACGTTTGATCCTTTCTCATTCCACTACTACATGCATGCATCATGCAATTCCATCCTAATTACGTTGATAAATAGCCTCTCCATTTCCTCCTCTCACGCTGGCCATTGTGCCTCATTTGGTTTTCTCGCTCTCCCTCTATATATAGTGCTCCACACACCAAGAAGGAATGGAGACAAACCACGTACAGGTAAGTGCTCAGAGCTTATGCTTGTTCTTTCAAATTGGTTTCTGAATTCTAAAGGTGTGAGATCGATCAATCTACTCTTTTGCTTGATGACTAATTTATCCATTATTGTTTCCCAGGACCAAAGTTAGCATATGGAGAAGTACCATGCCCTCACATGTTGCGGCACATCAAGAAGACTATGGTGTTCCTTTTAATTACATCATTTTACATATGAATCCTGTTTGAACATTATTTCAGGATTATAGCTTAAGCCACATTTTGTCCTTTCGAGAAATTAATAGCCATTGGTCTTCATGTATACTACTTTTTTGGATGGTACAACAATACCATATTTTTATTTCACTTTTGTGCATGTTTGTGCTTTTTGCATGATCAATTTATTTGTCATTCACAAGATATCACTTTTAAAAAGTCCCGCGGCAACGCGCGGGGTATTCACTTAGTTACTCCAATAGCGTTGACAAGGTTTGTCCTACGTGTCACTTCATTAACTTTCACTCATAATATCAACAAAAATAATTATCTAAATGAACAATTATATTTTTGAGAGTACTGTGATGAATTTAATATTGTCAGTCCGCCACTACTATAGAACTACCGTCATACATGGTCATATTCAATTTTTAGTGTTGGTGGTTCTCGCAACCGGCTCTACGCTACCGATTCTAGCTTAGAAAGAAGTTATCTTCGGGGCGCTGACCGTGTCTAGAAATACATTTCACTTATGGTTGACGCAAATAAATCATCCCTAGAAATTGATTCCAAAAAATTTAAAAGCCCCACAGATCTTGCCCCATGGTCAAGCCACGTGCGCTTGGCAGTGGCTAAGCTTGGCTGTGGTTGTGCCATGGCCCCCGTCGTAGGTGCCGCCTCCTCCGATTAGAGATGCAAACGATCGAGTTTGTCTATGAATATAATCCGCATATATAGGTTTAGGACCCCTTTCGAACGCAGAATTTTCATAGGAATTTTATAAGAATTTCATAAGATTCAGTTCATTTTTCGCAGGGAAAACACAGGAATGGGAAAAAATCCCACGTTCCAAAGGGGACCTTAGTTGTTAGCCTGTTGTGTGTTACCCACAAAATTAAGCCTATCTGCAATTTCTCGGGCAAGCCTATTTTCATCGCTACCTCTGACAGCTTGCCGCTTGGAAGAGATAATTGAGGCATTGGCTAAGGCACAACCAGAATATGAAACTTCTCTCAGTGATGTGGGGTTCTTCTAGTGTTTAGCATTCAATATTTAGTATAAGCTTTTCCCTACCAAATGCCTTCTAGTGAGGTTCTCATGTGCTATGATTGGT